TTAAGTGGAGAGCAAATGTTTTGAGAATGATGAGGGCAATGAATGTACAAATGTGCTTTACACAATTGATGTATGTATGGATTGTGATACGAGTCGTATGAGCCCCTAATAAAATGATTAAAAAAAGAATGAAGAAATCTGTTTTGGAAGAAGTGCAGTTAGAATTCTCCTTAGAAGCAAGATGGTGAGACTTTGTTAACATATTAATCAAGTATCAGTATTGATAAATCTCAAAACTATAATATTTAGCAGAAAAAGCAAGTGGCAAATAGATATGCATAGTGTGTTATCATTTAAATAAATCCTTAAAGCATGCAAACAACATGGTCGATAAATATGGCTCGTAGCTATGTAGAAAAGACAAACATATGCAAAGAAGTTGTACACAATAACTATGAAGAGGGAAATAACTTTACAAATGAGGAGTTGTACCTCTAATGTTTGTGTCCTTAAATCTGGCTGTGTGGTAAATAACAGTTTAAAGGAAAAACAGAATGGAAATAAATGCTTGCTTACATGTTTAATTTATGAGAATTAAACAAAATTCTTTTAAGTATGATGCAGAGTGTACTAGCACATTTCCCCAAACTTACTTGCTCAACCTCTCTATTGAGGGAATCTACTTTTTCTTTTAATCTGTTAGCCTCTGCCTCTGCGGTGATCAGTTCCAGTTTGAGGGTATTATTGTCTGCCTCGGTTTGACGGGCCTTATTCTCCCAGTTTTCAGCATCTTCATTGGCTTTTCTGAGTTGGTCCATTATTTGCCGGTTCTCAGATTCCTAAAAAGCAAAACTTTGGTATTACTTTAAAAGCGTTGAAGTGTGTGAGATTAGATACAAGTTAAACGTCATTTTCCAAGTCATGGGGAATTTACTTGCCACTAGGAATATTTGTAACGCAGCACTGAGGAAGCCCATCAGCAGTATTGGTTTAGAAGGCCAGCCGCCTCCTAATTGGAAGAGGAGTAGGATCTAGGATTGTCCTGGCTCAAGTCACCCCACCCCTCAAGTAAGGTTATTTACTTGTATCTTCAGGTCATAGATAAAAATGTTCTCACACTCGTTTTGCTCCAAGCAGGAAGTGGTATAAAGAACTTTCATTGCCTCCCTTTCCTTTGTGTACTTATAGACTGCTAGTCTGGTTCTGGTGCTTCTGTTGGTCTGAGCTTCTGTATCTGTATTTCCTTGGTTCCTGGCTGCTTCTCTGAGTTTCACTGGTTATACAGCTTCTGTTCATTTGCTGTCTTAAATGTCAACTTCTGATAATTTTGTGGCTTGGCACATTTCTTGTCTGGTTGCTGTCTTTCATTTATAAGCTTAATCTTGATTTTCTTCACCATGAACTGTTCTATAATTTACCTTTGCCCACAGTTGTAGTAAATTTTCTAAAATTGTTCAAAAGTGAAATATCAAACCTGTGGCCATAAACTCTATTCCAATATGAGGGGTACCCCCCCACAAAATGGATTTTTTTTCTTTTTTCCAAAGGTATGTATTAAAATTTTTTTACAAAACAACCTTATCACCTTCAAAGTATTTTCCATTATACTTAATATATATGTCAAATCTGCAATTCCATTCTTGGAAACATTTTTCAAACCCATCTATTAGGATGGCTGACAGCAATTCCCTCATGTTTCCCCTCACCTCTTCTACATTGTCAAATCACTGCCCTTTCATGTCCCTGTTCATTCATAGAAACAAAAAGAAATTGCACGGAATGAGGTCAGGTGAGTGAGGTGTGTGGGGTAAGAAAGGCATGCTGTTTTTGCCAAAAACTGGTGCACTGAGATGACAGCATGAGCAAGTGCATTGTCGTGGAAGCAAAATCAGTCACACGCCTGCCACAAATCAAGCCTTTTTTTGGGTCATACACTGTTATGCAATCTTTACAGACCCTCTAAATAGAAAGCTTGACTAACAGTCTGTCCTGGTAGGACGAACTCCAAATGCATTATCCCCCTCACATCAAAATAACAAATGAGCAAAAAAATAAAAATTAAAATAACAAATGAGCATCATCTTGATCTTTGATTTCACTTGACAAGCTTCTTTTGGGTGAGGTGACCATGGCATCTTCCACTTCCTTCACTGATGTTTGGTTTCTGGGTCATAAGAACAGAACCATGTCTTGTCACCAGTAATGACCTTGGGGGAAAAAGTCTGGGTTGCTTCAGAGCTACTCTTTCAAAGCACAGCATGTTTCCACTCGACGCTCTTTTTGCTAGTCAGTCAGAACCCAAGGCACAAATTTCACAGCCAACCCTTCTCATTACCAAGTCTTTTGTTAAAATCCGCTGAACCGAACTCCAAGGTAGTCCAGATAACTTCCCCATCTCTTCAATGGTCCTTAGTCAGTCTTTAAGCACAAGTGCACGAATTTTATCAACATTTTTGTCTGTTCAGGAAATTGACAGATGTCCAGAATGATGTTTGTCATCAATTGACATTTCACTTCTTTTGAAACAAGAAAACTACTTATACACTTGAGTTTTTCCCATAGTACTGTCCTTGTAAATTGTATTCAACATCACAATAATTTCTGTAGCATTTTTCCTGAGCAGGAAACAAAATTTCACAGCCACATGCTGTTCTCTTAAATCAGCCATCGCAAAAAAAACAAGGTTTGAGGGAAATTGCTTTTAACAAAAACTTCATTGTGACCAGAGAACCTTTCTAGGCGACGCCACAGGATGCACTAACTCAGAGTGAGTTACTCGATGCTTGCCTAGGAGGGAAAATGTATACTACAAAAGGTCTGCCCAGCAAAGCATTTTTCCATTTTGGGGGTGGGGGGTACCCCCTCATACATTCATGAATATATTGGACATAGGCTATAGAACCAGATTTTTCCAACCTAAAAAGTTCTGTCATTGAGCTGATTGCATAAACTAGATCTTTATTTCTAGAAAACAGGCAATTTGACAAACATTATACACTGAGTAATCACATTATAAGAATTTTAAACAAATTTTAGTAGTATGTATGGCCAACTCACTCTAAAAAAATGCAGTTATAATTTCAGTCATTAATTTAAATGACACTGGATCGTTTTTCTCTTACCTGTTCCTAAGTAGTGCATCCCCCTCGCAGAAAGTTGGGAATTAAAATGACCAAATTTCAGTAAAGAATGCCTCACTTTAGAAACCTTTCTGTTCGGATTTAAATTTTCACAATGATTTAATCCTTAAAATTAAGGATGGTTCAAATTCAGTAGAGATTGCCACCTAGTGGTCAGTTGCACATTGACTAATGGGAGCGATCCTTTTGCCAAGTCAAAAGGTTAATATGTTATAGTATTGATTGACTTTCATCTAATCCAAATATATGAGAGAATCTATGTTCGACACCATTATACTAAAACAAGTGTTAGGTACAGATTTTGTATTTGGCTAGGAACATGTCAGCAATATCCGTGACGTGAGCTTTATGAGCATCCATTACCCTTTCACTACTTGTCTGTCTGTGTCATTGACTCAGAGCTGATGTGACTTGATATGAGTGTACTGTATTCCCAATAACACCTGAGATTTCCTGAAGATATGGACCTTTCCTTAAAGAACAAATTTAGATCTGGGGCTAGGTAAAAATGCAGATTGCTATAACAACTCTCCTGTCCTCCAATCATCCAGTTCGCCTCTCTCATGATAATCAGAAATCATATTTAGCTGTTTTATTATCTTTTCAGAGCAACCAGAGTACAGCGGAACCAGAGAAAAGCAAACTTATACAGAGGGTGAAAAAATGTTCTTTGGTATTCTCCAATCCCCTCTTTCAGGACCACCTCGCCTCTTTATTATCCTACCCCTTCTCTGGACTCCATAGCTTCCTCTGGCCCTTCTAAGGGTTTCCTGGAACTCCGCCCAGGCAAAGTGCCTCATTGCCTCAGCTGGAATCCTCTGCAGTTCTTGTCTGAATTATGGTTACAGTCTCTCCAATTGTTCTCTCTCCTTATTTTGTTACCCTTCCTATTATTCTTCCCAATATCTTCAGAATGCACTCTCTAAAGGTAACTCTTAAATAACTTCCTTGCTTACGCCCTAATGAAAGCTTCCAGAAGCGTCCAAAGAGGTCCTCCTTAGCTCCCCATCATTACTCAAGCTACTCATTGGCACTGAGTCATTTTTGACTCATGGTGGCCAATATGGTGGGCTAGATCTGCCCCTGTGGGTTTCCAAGATTGCAACTCTTTACAGGGGTAGAAAACCTCATCTTTTCCCTCACAACTGCTGGTAGTTTCAAACTGATAATCTCATGGTCAGCAGCCCAGTTCCACTACATTGGAACTACAGGACTTACTTTCTTCCCCTACACCTTTGCTGATGTTATTCCCACTGCCTGGGGTACCATTCCGTTTCCTCTCTGGGTTCATCCCTGTTGCCCTAGTACCTTAACACACTGATTACTGAATGAATGACTTAGGCCACACTTGTTGACTGCCTCTCCATACCAAAATAGACTCGGGGTTCATTCTTCCAGGAGAGGGAGGGTACTGAATTTCGTTGTATTGTGAAGAGATAAGAACTGAGAGAGCTTGATGTGTAATCTAAAAGCCCTATTGTCGAATTTCAAATAATGTGACAGATCAAGTTGGGAAAATAAGTGCCTAAAAGTGGCTGAGTGCTCACTATACCAAACGTTATTCTAGGTACTTATATCCTGCCCTTTTCCAGAATAGACTTACATGGCGCACTGGGCTAGATGTTCTCAGTATTAGATCTCATTTGCTTGGTCGTTCTTCCTGATTACAGATCAAGAAATTGAGACTCAGAGATATCCAGTAGCATGCATACATCACAGTGAGAAGAGGAACCAGGCCTTTCTGACTCTCCAAACCCGCTACCCACTCATGATATTTATTACATTGCTGGCACCTTAAAATCAAGCACCTGCTTTGTCTATATAAGGCTTGCTGCCTGGAAGCAAGGGTTTCCATTTAGGAGTCCTTGTTGTTGCTGTTGTTAGGTGCCATCGAGTGAGTTCCAACTGACAGACACTCGACGTATGATCAAGCACCTTGCTCGGTCCCCCATCATCCTCATGTCCATGGTTGCAGACATTTGTGCATCCATCTTGTTGAGGGTCTTCCTCTTTTTCGCTGCCCTTCTACTTTACCAAACATGACGACCTTTTCCAGGGACTAGAAATCTTACTATGATAAAGGAATTCTTTTTTTAAAAAGCCTCTAAACTCACGACCATCGAGTCAATTCTGACCTTAGACTCTCCTGTTTCCCAAATCCCTACCAATCCTATATGCACACTGTAAATAAATCCATGTGATATGTTTTGTGAGTTTATATTAAATGAAATTTTAAATAAAATACGGACCATTGCTTGGAGAAATGTTTTCCTAATAATGTTTTAAATGCTATATAGGTAACAGTATACCTACCTATGATAATAATCATGCCAGCTGCACTATTTTAGATAATAGACTACCTAATGGACATACCTAACATCTTTGATCAAGCTGTTTATTCCAGGGTTGCCACATTTGTACCCACATTTATTTGAAATCATCTGATGGTACACAAGGCCTGTCAAATGGTCACTAATAAGGGAGTACTGAGGAGGGTTATCTGCCCTTTTGTCCTAAGAAACAGATGATCTCATAAGAGGATGCTCAATTTTAATCTGCTACTTGACCAAGTGGACGTTCTTCTGTCACAGAAAATGCCACTGTTTTCAAGTGTACCACAGCCCACGATGGTTTGGGCTCTTTTTCCATCGTGTAGTTGAGAGGATACGGCTAGTCTAAAATTGTTAACTAGGAACCACAAAGAGATATAGATTCTTAAGTCACCTTTTTGGACTATGAAATATGCTAAATACATAGTTAATCACTGTCAGTGCTAAAATATGCTACAGATTATTGGATTCACCTGCCCCTGTGGATGTGAAGTTGATTACTAATTTATAGTTAAACTTAACAATTAGGTTATTATCATGATTATGAACAAAGAGAAAAAAATATATATATACATACTTCAGACTTTAATATATTCTTCAGCTTGTTAACTTCCAAGTTAGTATCTTGGACCTTCTGTTTTATGTCATTTAGTTCATTATGAGTATCATTCAATTTTTTGGATAATACCTATAAGAAAGAGCTAGATTTGACAACAAAAAAATCTAAAGTCCCCATGTCAAAAACATCATATTTACAACAAATATGGTAAATAAAAGTTACTATACTTCATACATATAGCCAATATAACTAATAAAGTTAAGTATTTCAAAACTTCTAGTAAAAACAGAAAACACAGGGACACCTAGTAATAAATGGGCAAAGGGCAAAAAAGAGAAAATTTCCAAAAGGAAGCCCAAAAGGATAATACTTGGCAAAGGCTACTTCATTCATTACCAAGAAATGCTCAAACACTGACATGCTCATTTGCCTATGAAATTAGCAGAGATTTAAACTATTCCATTCTGTCAAAGAATGAGCATTTTCATATATTGCTAGAAAGAAATACAAATCTGTAAAAAGCAATTCGTGGTCAATACATCTCATTTAAAAAAAGGGAAAAGATGTTCTTTTTGAAGGTGGAAGATGGATTTATGGGGAGCCCTAATATTTGAAAACATTCTTCAAACCATAGTGAATGATGTGGGGAGTGCGGAGTGGAGATCCAAAGCCCATTAGTAGGCCACTGGAGATCCCTTTGCCGAGGGGTCTCGGGGAGGAGATGAGCCAGTCAGGGTGCGATGTAACAATGATGAGAAATACAACTTTCCTCTAGTTCCTAAAGGTTTCCTCCCCGCTCCCACTACCATGACTCGAATTCTATCTTGCAAGACTGGCTAGACCAGAGGAGGTACACTGGTACAGATAGGAACTGAAAATACAGGGAATCCAGGACGGATGAGCCCTATAGGACCAGTGGTGTGAGTGGCAAAACAGGGAGGGTAAAGGGAGAATGGGTAGGAAAGAGGGAACCGATTACATGGAACTGTGTGTGACCTCCTCCCTGGGGGACAGACAATCGAAAAGTGGATGAAGGGAGACGTCGGACAGGGCAAGATATGACAAAATACCCATTTATAAACTATCAAGGGCTCATGCAGGAGGGGGGAGCGGGGAGGGAGGGGAAAAATGAGGACCTAATGTCGGGGGTTTAAATGGAGAGAAAATGTTTTGAGAAACGATGTACAAATGCGCTTTACACAGTTGATGTGTGTATGGATTGGGATAACAGTTGTATGAACCCCTAATAAAATGTTAAAAAAGAAAAAAAATTTTAATTAAAAATTCATAAGCTTTATTCAATTTGAAATGAAAACTTAGTAAAATTTAATTTTAAAATGCTCATACGGCATTACTTACTAGAGTAACAAATCAGAAATATTCACATTAAGTGGATTAAGTGGTTAAAAAAACAGAATACTTACATAATGGATTATCATCTATGAGAAATATTCTGAATAATTTATGATAACTAGAAAATGTTCATCTATATTCTCTCACTCACTTCTCCCTGATGGCAGTCAATGCCAACTCATAACAACCCTATTGGACTGCCCCAAGTTTCCGAAACTGTAACTCTTTATGCAAATAGAAACCCCGTCTTTCTCACATGGTTTTGAACTGCTGACCTTGAGGGTCTCAGCTCAACGCGAAGTCACTATGCCACCAGAGCTCCTAATCTATATTAAATTTTTTAAAATTAAAATAAAATAGCACATATGCCTCAAAAACCCCAGCTTGTTAAAACCTGAGGGTGAAATTTCTTGAGGTTTTTTATTTCAAAGCTTACATAATATGTGTTCTTGATCTGCCACCTACAAATTAGATACTTCTTCTACCTCTGGGTCTATGGCCTCAACAAGGCTTAAATATGTGTGTGTGTTTTATATGTACATCATATATACATATTGTTACAATTAATAAGCCAAGACTATATTGCTAACTAAAGCTCTTTTCCCCCCAAATTCTCTTTGTTTATATATTATGTCCTTTTCCAGTTCCATGACTTTAGCATTCTTTAACTTTTAATGCACTTTAAAAGTTCAGATTTAAAAAAAATTAATTTGCATCTAAATAATTATTTGTGTAAATTAAAACTATTTCACTTTTAAAATTATTATTATATAAATTTCAGGCCTTTTAGGACATACCTTGAGCATTCAGAATGGTACCAAAGTGGGGAGAATATTTTTGGATTGAATATTAGGGAAATGGGGACTTCCTAATTGAAATTTTAAATACTTAAGTTAAAATAATAATATTGGAAATAAGAGCTTAAATATACTGTTTAGAGAGGAAGTAATTACAACTGAAACTTTCATTTTAAAAAATCACAGTACAGGAAGACAAAAATAGTGGCATAGTCAGTATATATCTATTTTACTTAAACAGAATGATAGTTAGTCTATCAAATGCCTCTAGAAGTTCCAGATGGCACAGATGGCTAAGCACATGGCTGCTAGCCAAGTTTGAACTCACCCAGAAGCACTTGGGAAGCCAGGCCTGGTGATCCTGCTTCTGATAAGGCACAAAATCCCATGGCGCAGTTCTACTCTGCCCACTGGACTAACAACATCATCAGATGCACCTGCCCCCTTTCTTAAAAGCATATCAAACTTTTTATTCTCATTAGCTGGCATATTCAAATATGCATCCTTCATTATCCTTTGTAAAGTGAAATACAATGCTCTGTACGATCTGTTCTCTTTTCTTTAATGTTTGACATTCTACAACTGAAATTTTTGCTTAGAAATGATGGAATATTCTTTGCTGCAAAGGTAATAAAAAATGACAATGTTCTAATGCCTGGGCTATTCTACAAACTGAAACGAAGGTTGTGCCTCTGAAGAACTGTGTATCTATCTATATCTATATATTTTCCCCCTTGGAGAAAAAGATTTGGGGAGAAAGCATACCTGGTTTTCTTGTTTAGCTTTAGAGAACTGTTCTTGGAGATTGTCATTCTCATGAGCCAAGATATCTCTTTCTCTGGCTATCTGAGCCAGCTCATCATTTGTTTCATCCAGTTGTCGACGCATTCTGGAAATGTCTTGTTCACACATAATTAGGGCTTCTGTAGACTGTCTATTCCACAAATCAAACAGTACATAAGAAGAGATATTTTACTGAAACAGAGTAACAAATTCTCACAGTATAGAAGATGGATGTGAAAACATTGAAAGTTTGATGCATTCAATTTGCAGGAATCAATATTGCATAAGACAGAGTTTTATTATCATTTAACTATATAAAGTCAGCGATTTACTAAGCATTTCAAGAAAGGCCTTTCTCCTGCTTCTAGCTGCTATGGCACAGTTTTCTAAGTCAAACAGATTCCTCTTTCTTTGTTCTCATAAAATGGTGTTTCTCAGGGCTCAACCCTTAGCCTACTAATTGTCCTCACTCTACCATCCTTATAGCCATGACTTCTAACCCCATTTGTCCCCAGATAACTCCAAAGTCATTACCTCCAGCTTGCATTTTTATTATCGGTAGCTGAGGAATGTCCCTCCTGCGGGTCATATATGGCCCTCAAAATCATCAACGCCAGCTAACATTACATGCCTCACCAAAGAGAAGCCGTCCCAGCCATCACGGAACTGGTGAGTTATTTCAATGTCTGGTCAGTGTGGCCCGTAAAGAATGTTATAAATATCCAAATGGCCCTTAGCAGAAAAAAGGTTCCCCATCCCTTCTCTACAGACATATATATTTAACTGTATACTAGACACATCTCTTTGAAAGTTTCAAAGGCCCTTCCAATTTCAGAAATAAATTCTTTCTCCTCATTTTCTCATCATGCACAATATTGAACTCTAGACATAAACCATATACTTTCTTAAAGTATATCCCTCATAAGCACTTCACGTGTCCTCCCCTCCCCCAGCCCCACCATAGCCCCGATCTCTCACTACCTCTTCTTCCTCAGTCTACTTTCGAACACAAATATCTGCTTCAAATTCCCCCAAATCTGCTTTTATCCCAGAGGGTGAAAACCGTTTTGTCCATAAGACAGGAGACCTCTGCCTATCTGTTCAGACGTTCTCCCTTCCCTTCTCCTTTTTGGTTTCTAGCAACACTCACCTACTTGTAGTTCAAGAGGCTCTTTAACATGATCTATGGTCTTTGATTCTTGCTATTTTTTCTACCTGAAATAACCATACCTACCCTTCTTATTTGGCAAACACCATCTCCTCTGTTACGTTAGGCCTTCTTCGAATGTTAGGGTTGCTGCTGTTAGGTGCTGTCCAGTCAGTTCCAACCCATAGCGACCCTATGCACAACAGAATGAGACACCACTCGGTCCTCTACTACTTCCACAATCATTGACATGTTGGAGCCCATTGTTGGAGCCACTGTGTCAATTCAGCTCATATGGGGTCTTCCTTTCTGCCTGACACTCTACTTTACCAAGCAAGGTGAGCTTCTCCAAGGGATTGTACCTGCTGATAATAAATCCAATGTGAGAGGAGCATTCTGACTGTGCTTCTTCCAAGACGGGGTCGTTCATTCTTTTCACAGTCCACGGTCTATTCAATATTCTTCACCATCACCATCATTCACAGGCATTAGTTTTGCTTTGGTCTTCCTACTCGCCCCGTTTTCACAAGCACATGTGACTGAAGGCGTGCCTTAATCCTCAAAGCGACATTTCGTTTTTAAATACTTTTACAGAGGTCTTTTGCTGAAGATTTTACCAGTGCAATATACTATTGATTTCTTGACTGCTATTTCTATGAATGTTGACTGTGAATTCAAGTAAAACGAAATTCTTAACTTCATTTTTTTCTGTTTATCATGATGTTTCTTATTAGTCTGGTTGCAATGATTTTGTGTTTTTATATTCATGTGTAATCTATATTGAAATATGCAATCTTTGATTTTCATCAGCCATTACTTCCCTTTAAGTCATATAGACTATCAGCAAGCAAGGGTGTGTCGTCTGCATTTTCTAAATTGTTAATAATTCTTCTTCTGATCCTAATGCTCTACTCCTCTTCAGATAGTCTAGTTTCTTGGATTATTTGATCACATACAGATTGAATAAATTAATAAAGGATACACCCTGACACATATTTTTCATGATTTTAAACCACTCAGCATCCCCTTGTTCTGTTGGAACAACTGCCTCTTAAGTCTATGTACAGGTTCTGTATGAGCACAATTTAAGTGTTCTAGAATTCCCTTTCTTCACAATGTTATCTATATTTTGTTAAGATCCATACAGTTAAATGCCTTTGCATAATTAAAACTATAGGTAAACATCTTTATGGGATTCCTGCTTTCAGCCAAGATCAATCTGCAATCTGTTATCAGCAATGATAATGCTCATTCCAGTTTCTCTTCTGAATCTGACGAGCACTTCTGACAGTTCCCTGTCAATGTACTGCTGCTGCAACTGTTTGGTAATTATCTTCAGCAAAATCTTACTTGCATGTAATAATAATGACACCCTAAAATAATTTCCACATACTGCTGAATCACCTTTCTTTGTAATGGGCACAAACATGAATCTCCTCCAATCAGTTTGCTAGATAGCTGTCATCCAAATTTCTTTGCATACACAAGTGAGCACACTTCCACCAATGCATACATTTGTTGAGACATCTTAATTGATTTTCTATGCAATCCTGTTGTTGTTGTTAAGTGCTGTTGAGTCAGTTCGAACTTGTAGTGATGATAACAGAATGAAACACTGCCTGGTTCTGTGCCATGCTCACAATGAATACGACTGAACCTATTGTTGCCACCACTGTATCAATGCGTCTCATTGAAGGTCTTCACTTTTTCACTGACTTCTACTTTATCAAGCATGATGTCTTGACTCTCCTGATAACATGTCCAAAGTACATGACACAATTCTGGCTGTACTTCTTCCAAGACAGCATTGCTTGTTCTTCTAGAAGCCCACAGTACTTCCAGCATTCTTCACCGACACCACACGTTCAATGTATCCGTATTCTTCAGTCTTCCCTGGCTATTGTCTAGCGTTCACATGCATATGAGGCAACTGAAAATAGCATGGCTGGGTCAGATGAATGCATCTTAGTCCTCAAAGGGGACATTTGCTCCCTCAAAGGAGATCAAAATGACCCCCTTGCCTTTCAACATATTAGAGGTCTTTGCAGCACAAATGCCCAATGTAATATATCATTTGATTTCTTTACTGCTGCTTCCTGAGTCGTATTTTTCACCAATGTGTAGCTTGGACTTCTCCTTTCAATACTATTGGATCTTTATCATAGGCTACCTCTTGAAATGACTGAGTATCAACCAATTCTTTTTCATCCATTGATTCTATGTATTCTTTCCATATTCTTTTGTTGCTTCCAGTATCACTCAAGTTTTTGCCCATAGAATCCTTCAATTTTGTGATTTAAGGCTGGGATTTTTTCCCCTCAGTTCTTTCAACTTGAGAAATGCCAAGAATGTTCTTCTCTTTTGCTTTTCTAATGTCAAGTCTTTTGTATTTAATTCTAATACTTTATTTTGTCTCTCCAAGTTGTTCTTTGGAATCTTCTGTTTAGCTCTTTTGCTTCATCATTTCTTCCTTTCATTTTAGATTCTCTTCATTGAAGAGAACGTTTCAGAGTTGTCCTCGCATCCTTAATGCCACGTCACAATTCTGGTGATTAGTGTTCAGTGAATCATATTCTTAAGAGGGTCTCTCAATTCAGGTGGGATATACTCAAAGTTCTACTTCGGTTCTCCTGCATTTGTTTTCATTTCTTCAGCTTCAACATAAACAGCCCGTGGTCTTATTCCGATTGATGCTACTGAGTTTCTCCATCATCTCAAAAATTGTGCACTGTACTATGCATTGTAATTGTTTGTTTATGTAACAGTGAACAGTTTTTTCTTACTATCTTTGTACCTCAAACAGTACTTTGCCCCTGAGTAGTGTTCAAATGTCTGTTGAATGAATGTTTTACCTTGATGCCTGCTCCATCTCAGCAATGATATTCTTCATGCCTGAAATGGTCTTTTCCTTGAAAAATAATATAAGTATTAAATAAAAAGTTATTTTAACTGTGTTATTTACGCTAAAAGTGAGCAAAACAAATAAAATTTCCTTTCCATTTTGAATTCTTTCCTTTTCCCCCCAAACATTTACACCCTATTCTTTTCTTTGGGTAAATATATTGTTCTCATTAAAATAAAGGCCGTATATTACTGTATGAGATGAGTACTTTGGGTTATTTTATTTTTATTTTTAGTATCAAAAATTGTTTTATGTTCTAGCTTCTAAACATGAATTCCTTTTTCCCCCCAACAGTTTTATCAGTACAGAATTTACATATCATACAATTGAATAGTTCAATCATTCAATAATATCAAGGGGAATTGTACAATCAGCACCACATTTATCTTAGAGCATGAATCCTCTCCTCTCCCTGCCAACAACACATACTTAGGAGAAAATATTTTGTGTAGTCATCTTGTAACTTAAGAACCCCCAATACCATCTTATTCTAAAAGACGGACCAATGGTTTGGCATTGGAATAGGGCTGATTCACTCTCTCAAATCTTTATGTCATAAACTCAGGGGGGAAAACCATGTATAACTAAATTTAGTTCTTATGAATAATTACTTTGATCAAGTATGAGGGAGCTTCAAAAGTTCATGGGAAAAACTCCATTATAAATTAATTCCATTTTGAAGCCCCCTTATGTTGAAATCTTCCCTCTTCCAGAGCAACAGGAAGGCTGTAAACTTTGTGGAGTTAGTCAAGACCGAAATGGGTTGGAAGCTCTTAATCCATTAATATTAATGTCAAGACTCCTCCCTTTAAAACTCTCACTGAACCTGAACTAATTTAACCACACAGCTATTTGGACCTAATATTAGCTCTTTGAAAAATATTAAAAGTATTCCTTCACTAAAAAATTACCTTGCTATTTGAATTTTCAAATGCTTACATATAAGTAACATGATGAAAAACCAAACCCGTATTTCCCAACCAGTTTTGTTTTCATCTACTTAGAGATATGATTGTATGTGTGCATGTTTGTGTGCATGTAAGTTATATGCCTTTACTCATGGGCTCCTCTCCAGGGATTATTAGCTTCAACTTTCCATTCTGCTTTCTGGTAGAATGGAGCAGATTTTATTCACATCTAGCAGTCATAAATGTTGGAGTATGATTAAAATAATTACCAAGGCAGCTCAAAGTTGAAACTTCTTTAAGAAGCACAAATCAATGGAAGAAAAACTCAAACAAAATAACATTTAACATGAAATCTTAACACATGATTTTGAAATATAATTTAATACATTTTAAAATAAATTCTGGAAAGCTAATTGAAATTATAGTGCTTTTGGAAGTCATAATCTGGTTTAATTGGAAATCTGGTTTATAACCCTGAAAATCATTTCCTTTTATTACTAGAACTTCATCTTGAGAGTACAATTCTCCATAAACATTGTTCATTACCTTAGTAAGTTTCTTAGTTCTTTCTCTCCTAACTTGAGCCTCGGGTTGAATCAGGTGCTTTTCTGCCAAACTACAGTAACATATTGTGCATACATGTCTTTAAGGCTTAACACGTACCATAATAGTATATTTTCTCTCCCCTTATTGTACCATATACTTTTAGAAAGAGGTCCATTAACCCTAGTTTACAACATAATGCTAATGTTTGTGGAATGAATGAGTTCCCTTACATGGAAAACATCTTATTTCAATAATACTGCCTTTGCATAAGAGGAAAACAGTTTAGAATCATTTTAAATGCTAGAGAAGAGCATGATTATCTCTCTGCCTTTTTGAAATTTTTTTTTAATAATTAAGAAAAAACTAGAAGGGAGGTGATGATCCAGTTTTACTCACCAGTTACATATGGTCTATTTTCAAAAGCCGAGTCTGATGTAAAAATGTGCTCCTACTTCTTAAAACAATTATGAAGTCAGTTTTAGTGGACTAAATGTGTTGTTTCCCGGTGACTACTTGGGACTGGAAGTTATGCCTTCTTTTTTTTTAAGTAAATAAGCCTGTTTCATTACTTTGTTGTCATGCTTCACATTTTAATACTTGAGCTAATTGTCAGCGAATGTTAATCACAAATTGACAATAGAAACATCTATTTAAAATAACAGCCAATGAATTTGCACATTTGTAGTGTTTGTGGAAGTCATAACTTGGTTTCATTTGAAATATGGTTTATAATCCTAAAAAGCACTTCCTTTTATTGTTAGAACTTCATCTTAAAAGTACAATTCTTCATAAGCATCTTAAAATGTTTCAAAATCCAATTGTAAAGTTTCAACTCTCTAGAAAGTCTTGAGAAAATGCTATTATTTTATTCAGAATCAAGTTCAAGCTTTAAAACACACACACAGTTCTCAGAACATACTTTCATGGCCAAACTCTCTCCCAGGGATGCAATGTTCTCCGATTTTTTGTCCAAACATGCTTGCAGGCACTCCTTTTCTTTAGCCAGATCGTTGAGTGTTGCACCAAGAATGCTGATTTCTTCTCGCTGAGCAATACTTTGCCTTGTAAAATTATCTAAATATGTAATCATAAAGGCATTGCTTTAATCAAGATTAAAAAATATTTCCCAAGCCAAGTAAATTGAAACACCTTTCAAAGTAAGTTCTCCTATATCCAACAATTAAAAACAAAAGTATCTTATTTTTATCTCAAATAAAATTAGTTTTCACATTACTTACATAAATTAACACAAATCATGAATTCTTAAACAACTTGACAAGTTAAAAGAATAATTACATAATACACTTGAATTAGCATGACAAAAGAAAGCTGTATTATCACAAGTTCTCAAAGTAGAGTTGCGTGTATTACATGTAGTGGGAAATAAGAGGAATGTGGATGGAGTCTATAGAATACGAAAACCATATCTGACATTTTACTCATAATTTCTTCTAGGCTGGAATCACTGCTGTATATAAAATTGACAATTAGCATATCTTGATAACATATGCATTTAAATCATCTCTGTGTGATTTAAGAGTCAACTGTCTTCTAATGTTCTAATTTCTCTAATGCAGTTTTATAAAATTCCTTTTTAAAAATATTATGAGGAAGTCCGATTCCAATTTTGAGGCTCTGGCAAGCCCATGCCAATGTATATAACAGTGATTTTCAAAGTATGGTGTCTCAGCCAGCCCCAGGAGCAGCAGCTGGGAACTTGTTAGGAACGACAATGCTCCATAGTCATTGGACTTTGGTTCAAATCTCTTAGGTACCCAATGAATAGTGGCACGGGGCTACCATATATTTCCCATTCTAATGCCCTCCTTGCTTTCTGGTGACATGTGTTAATTTGGGAGGCATGGTTCTACCTTTGTGAATACGTGTGATTGAAAATTTTACCCTAGCACCAACCTCCTTGTTTATATAGTGTCCAGTCATGAGTTTAGTCTGTATACGTCAGCAATTCATGTATTGTGGTCTGGAACCCACCTTTACTTATATAATTTCACCTTTTCAACAGTGTTTTAAATTCTATATCATTGGATAAATTAATGACATTATCAATAGAATTACCTTATACTCCAGGGGGATGATTTATAATGTTCTCTATCATAAAATGATAATGAAGTCTCTAAAGTGAACCAGAGATACAAAAAAACCATAGATTTAAGAATGGATTCGGGGCTTGAACTTAATTCTAGCCCCAATCTAAGAACAATTAGTTCTTGACATAGCCCTGCTTGATGCTCACCCTCACAAATCATTTAAGATATGGGTACTATAGCAAGTAGGGTAAAGAAACCTGACTATCAGAAAGAGTATTGTCTGAGGTCTTAAAGGCTTGTCTTAAAACAAGCAGCCATCTGTGAGGTGTCAACTAAGTTCATATGGAAGAAGTACCGGCCTATGTGATTCAAGGATTGTAAATGATAAAACCCAAATCGGAAAGTGGGAATGATATCGGAGCTTAAAATGTAAACACCTAGTTTACAGAAGGTTATGCGTGACAGTCGTAGCCCAAAATCCATTTTCAGGGTCCACACGTGAATTAAGCCTCTGAGAAATCACTCTGATCATGGTTGTGGGACATACGTAGCCTTACTATCAGCCAGAGAGCATTGTGATTTTGGCAAACTGATTTTGGCAGATGCAGTTAAATTAAAATGTAGTTAAATTAAATTAAACTTTATCATTTGATCTCCCTTTTGACTATTTTTAAAGTTGCTTCAGTTTTTAATATTTTCTGCTTTCTTTTTGAGATTTTTCTATGTGTGTTCTGGCTATGTTGTAGGGTTTTACTTGTTTGTTCATTTGCTTCCTGTTTGTGTTTTGTATGATTTTCTGTATATGAAATCCAGGATAGGGAGATCTATGGAGATAGTAACTGGATTGATCATTGCCTAGGGCATGGCAGGGGAGGATGGGGGAAATGAGGAACTAATAATAATGAGTATAAAAAGAAAATGTTCAGAAATGGATTGTGGTGATGATTGTACAAATAAACTTAATATGATTGAATGATTGAATTGTATGATATGTGAAGTATATGCCAATAAAGCTATTTTTAAAATGAAGAGCCTCTGGTTCAACCCAAGACCTAATGACATAGAAATTCTGGGAATGGGCACAGAAATCTGTGTTTTCCTAAGCACTGCCTCCCATGCAATTCCATGAATGATGTTTGAAAACTACAAGTCTAGAGCAGTAATTCTAAGATACCAGAATCACCAGGGGAACTTTGAAAAGATACAAAAGCCTTTCCTGCTTCAACCAACTTGGCTCCAGTGAGATAAATTAGCTCTACAGGTGATTCAGACAACCCACATGTTTGGGGTCTCCTGAAATCAAAAAGTTCATCCTCATTAGGCAAAAATTCAAACTTAAAAAAAAATCTTATCGCTTAAAAAGGAATCTGGGAGTTTACATCTCACTCAGGCCACTACTCCATTTTTCTATTACTTTTAATAAACAAGCTCCTTGAGAAAATTTTCTACTCTTTCCTGTCTATACTTCCTCACTTCCCATTCCTCAACTTACGCCATCTTCCACCTCCAGCATTCTGCTCAGAGGGTTTTGTTGCTTGTGGTTGGTTTTCTTTTGTCAGTGTTAACCTAACCTACAATTTTCCAAATCCAATTAAAATTTTTTCATCTTCATGTTACGTCACTTCTGACACACCTGATAATTGATCAGAACGTGCTTTTAAAAATAGTTTGCTTTCTTGGCTTCCATGATAACACTCACTTCTGGGCTTTCTTCATAGTTTTGTGGCTTCTTCTCCTCAGTCCTGGGGCATCTTCTCATTCTCTGTAAGTCTCCCTAGGTATTTTCATGGTTTTAAAGGATCATTTACATGCTGGTGTGTCTCAAAAGTGTCTTAGCTTAGATTTTTCATCTGAGATCCAAACTTGCACAGTCATTGTTAATCATTTTCATGTGGGCTTAAAATATCCAAGTACAAGTTTTCTTTCACCAGTATCTTTATTTCTCTTTTAGTATATCCTAGTTTAATAAATATGGCCACCACCCATCTAGTTGTTCATGTAATAAGGTCAAATACTAAATAGATTTTCTCAGTTCCTAAAAGGCTCTTTTATAGGCTTGATCAAAATTTCACCTTTATAAGTAGATTAAGTTATAAACATATTTTCACAGCAGTCACTTTCATCTGATAAGAAATATATATAAAACTTGATAAAAATAATTTTTCTATAAAACCAACCAGTATCAAAGTTAACATATGCACAAATGTCACCAAAAGTAGCATATCTGTATTGTTTCATTATAACAGCCAGTGACAGTCCACAATATTATACCAAAAAATGTATAATTAAAACTAATTAAATGATTAAAACTAATCATTATAAATTTACAAAATTTGAAGCTTCATTTCACTTTTTCTCATTAGAAAATTTAAAGTCCTAGCTAAGCATTTATGGGCCCAATTCAAAGTAAAATATTTACTATTAAAGATATCAAAGGAGAAAACTCACCAATTTTTTCATCCAAACACATAATTTTCTCTTGAGTAAGCTGTAGCTCATATTTTTTCTTAGCAAGGTGTCGCTGAGTATCAGAAAGGTCTTTTTCTGTGTTTTCATATAAAAGTCTGTAAACATTTTAATAATAAAACTAATTCTGGAATTTTTATATTTTGTTAATTTTTTCAGGGTATTTATATTTTAAAAAATTTTAAAGACACCAGTACTTAATTTTTATCTTTTTAATATTTGCATTATAAAACCACATTATAGGAACTTTAGGAAATAAAGGAGAAAGGCATGTCATCAATCCACCACCTCTTGGTATTAACTATTCAGTACTTTTTTTCTCTACATATTTTTAACTTACTATTCTATATACTAAAAGTTGAGTCCTGACTTTTTTTCACCTAACAATTGTTAATATTTTCCCACCTTATCAAATATTAACAATTATTTTGTGGGTGCAAATATTCTATTAGTAAGTATAGTCATTTACTTAACTTCTCTCATATTAATAGACATTTATGTTCATTCTATTTTCTCACCATTATAAATAAAGCAGTAATGAGCAGTATTTCATTCATTCACCAACATTTGCTAAGTGTCCAAGTATGTACCAGGCACTAACTGGGCATGGGTCCTGCTCTCATGGACTTGGCAGTCAATAGAAATGTGGAGGGAAAGTGGCAACGGCTAGCTAAGTAAGCAGTGGAAAATTGCTTGCCAGACATTTGAGAAGAGGAGAAACAAGCTCTGGTAAGTAGGTCTGGGATTTGAGGGCTATTTTTCCCTTAAATAAATCTATAGGTTCAAGTAAAAACATGAGGCTAAAAAGCTGTGCAGCAATTTTGACATTCCCTAGAACCTAAGGGACAAAAAAGAAAAAAAATTAAGTCCAATCTCATCAACAAGGGGTAGAGCTTTGGTAACCATCCTTACACACAGGATTTATAAACCTGGTTCATTTTAGAGACATCATTATCATTTTATGATAAGAGAACATTATAATGGGAACAAACCATGTCATCTTTCTCCCACAAAGCAGTGGGTAAGTTTGAACCTCCAACCTTGCAATTAGCAATACAACATCTACTCTATAGTGCCACAAGAGCTCCTTAGGCACACAGAAGATACCACATAATTGAAAGTAAGAGAAATAACAGACACAAAAGTAGACCAGTGGGAAGCATCTAATGAAAACAGAATCATATAAAATCAAGAAACAGAATTTGAAACTGTACTTAATGTGTCTTAATATGTCTAAGAAAATAAAAAACAAGATTGACAATTTCTCGAGACTGTAACAATAAAGAGTCAACAATAAATTCTAGAAATGAAAAAAGAAAAAAGAGAGAACACCAATATTAATAATTCAACTGATGGGTTTAATAGCAGATTGGACATTCCTGAAAAATAAATTAGTGAAGAAAAGGGAAAGTTGGGGGGCGGCAGGGAATCCAGGATAAAATGTAGAGCAGGAAAAGGATAAAATATAAGCGATTATAAATGACACTGGAGATATAGCAGGGTCTAATATGAACTGATTAATAGTGCCAAGGGGAAAGGAGAGATAGAAAGGGGTAGATGTACTACAGAAGCTGATTCAACTTTTGGTGAACGACCTTTTCTGGACTACGGAGACCATCATCCTGGACACCAGGCAGGATTGTGGCAAGATCTTACATCTGGTAAAACTAATAAACACTGCCTGGAGAATGACACAGTTAATGTATCACAAGACAATATTTGAAAATGTAATGAAATTCTACTGTAGCCCAACAGAAGACTATCCCCCAAAGGTGTGACACTCTATTTTCTTCATTTTTTTCTTCTTTTTCTCATAAAACAGTACTTCATGAAAACACTATTTTAAATAAGAAGCAAAATTATAATGATTGTAATCATATGATGTTGAATGAATACTGGGAAAAAAGCATATTATTTGGCTTATGCAATTAGACTGCTTTTGAGTCAAATGCTTCCCATAAACAGAATGCAGAGTTCCAATTAAAAGCAAAAGGAAACTGAAAACTACCATGCATGATAAGGAGTTACCAAATTATATACTTATATCACTGATCAATAAACTTAGGACTACAACAAATATTGAAGAATTAGAAATTTCAAAAATATAGTTGGTAGCTTCCTTTGAAAACGATTGCAACTTATCTATCCAAAAACAGACTTCAGCCACTCTTCAAAGATATATTTAGGAGTTAATCTTACCAAAGCTCAAGAAAGGCTTTGGTCACACTACCTATTATACAGTTTTCAAAAGCTCAGTTTTGGGCCTTCAGGAAGTTCTTCTGTCCAGATTGAGTAGAAGGCATTAGAACTAAGGTCTGATAGCATGGGTCCTATTCACTTATTCTCTCATCATTTTTAACTAATCCTGGGACTGGTTTTAGATGCTTTGTTTCTTAAGGAGAGCCTACTTCTTTAAAAATTAAAATCCTAATACTGTTGAGCCAATTAGTAAAGGCATACAAGTGGACATGGGTAAAAGCCTATCTAATATTTTGCAATAATTAGATAAAACAGTCAAAAGAATGACATTACTTGCAACAAAACTCAAAATCATGAAAGAGAAGAGGCTTGTTGGTCAGAATGAAACTGTTTCCTTCTCTGAAACTACGACCTATGATTACCCTTCCAGCCTGGAACAGAATTCAACCCTGTGGCTCACTTTTCAGCCAAGTAATAGACAGGACTATAAAGGGAACAACAATACTAATGAGGTACACACTCCTTGGACTACTCAACTTTGGGGATCAAAGGGCAGCATTTACCCAAGGACAAAGAAGCAGCAATGGAGAGAGGAAACAAAAGAAGTGGGAGAGATGGGTGTCAGAGCAAACTAGAGATTCAATATAATACCCTAAATGACCAGAATACATTAAGGAGCAACATACATTAAAATGTGGATGGACATGGACAATATGGTGCTAAGCAAATGATGACACATGCAAAAATCCAAAATTTATAATAAGGGGTTGTGGGGGAAATAAAGGGTACAGACTTTCTTTTTGAGGTGATAATTACATGCATCTATAAATACACTGAGGGTGAATTATATCTTAGTAAAGGTATTTTTAAAAACATTCTGTATGTTGTTTATGATTATGTCTTCAAAATAATTCAGTGGGAGAGAAATGGATGGGATTTTAGATGAAATAGAATTGATGGAAAGGAATTGTTAATTATAGAAGCTGGCAGATGAGTTTATAAAAGCTCATTATAGGATTTTTCTCTACCTTTATGTGTTTATCATTTTCCATAAGTAACTTAAAATGTCCTGTGAACAATTTTTCATTTCTTCATATAACTGTCAATTTTCTATATATACTCCAGAGCTATATTGATATCCACTCTTACTGGCATTCTTTTTATCATTCATTCTTTATGGTATCTCCTACCATCTATATTAATGGCATTCTTCTTAAATTCTGTGTAGTATGATAGTAACTATACACTATCATCCTTTTGGATATATTTTATTTTCAATCTTTCTGTTTTATTCACAATGTGCTTTATACACCATTTATAAGTAAAACATTTACATTATCTATCTCAAAATTGTACATTAATGCCATATTTCACATTTTTCTCATTTTAACATCCTTAAAATTAGGAAACATCTTACCATTTTACCATTGTCAACCAGGCAGCAATTGTATTATAATTGACACTAACTGCACATGAGTAAACTTGAAATTCCTGTTGGCACGGCAAGTCAACTCCAATGGCTAGATGTCTTAAACCAGAAACCATCGAAAGACCATCAGAGAAAGGACAGTGAGTCCTTGTTTAAAAAAAAAAATATATTGAACCTCTTGAAAGGTCAATAAAGCCCCGTCATCAAAACTTGTAAAATGGATGTCATCAACATGAAAAATCTCAGAGACAATTGTGAAGCATTCTCACAAGAAATTCTGCACTCTTAATGTTCTTGCTGGAACAAAGGGAATGCTACAAGAGGGCTTTAAAAAGTTCCTGGGGCAGGGGCAGGGGCATCCATTATCTTTTTAAATTCCATATTCCACCAACTATTTGGAGCCCCCTCATATTTGGAGAAATACTGACACTGATAATTCTGAGGTGAAAAGTGATTCAGCAAAGTGAGACTCTCAAGGTGAAGAAGTTTTAGGAATGTCTTATGTTTCCCAAGTTCTATGAATATATGAACGCTCAAGACTTATGCCATTTCAATAAACCTGGGCCGAGATGTTTCTGAGGAGCCTGTGGCAGTGGTTACCACCAGTCCTCCTTGGAGAAAGACGAGGCTTTCTACTCCCTTAAAGAGTGACAGTCTCGGAAACTCACAGGGACAGTTCTACCCTGTCCTATGGGGTCACTATGAGTCAGCGTCCACTCGATGGCGTTGTTTGTTTTTGGTTTGGGGTTTTTTTTCCTCTTTTTTTTTGGTTGTCTCCAGGTGACTCTGATATTCAGTCTTGGACAATAAAATCATGATAAAATTCAAGAGGAAGTTCCCAAGACTTACTATACTGCCACAGAAATCAAGACAATGCATTGTTGGATGTTGCTGTCAAGTGAGCTGGGACTCATATTGACACTATGTGACAGACTAGAACAGACCTATGGGACTTTCTTAACAGCAACAAAGAGTACATCACTTTGTAGTAGATCACAAAGGCCATCCCCCTACAGAGCCACCAGGTGGGTCCAATGGCAACATTTTGGTTAGCACTCAAGTGATTACCCATAATACCATTAGGGTTCCTTGGTACTGGTATATGGAGACATGTCAACAGACTAGCATAGACATTCTAGGAATAGACCCATACATATTAGACTCAATTTCAACAAAGGTGTTAAGTAAATTGAACAGGAAAGAAAAGTATTTTTATAGGTATTTCTAGAACAACTGAACATTCCCATGGGAAAAAAGTGAACCATAACTTTGCCCACACTTAACACACACACACACACACATATACACACACACACACACACAAATGGTTCAAGATGGATCATAAAGTAACACCTGGAAATGCAGAGCTTTTAGAATACAGACTATTTTCAAAGCCTCAGCATTAGCAAAAATTAAAGGCACAAACCATTAAAAAAAATTTAACTTGACTTCAATCAAAAAAATAAAAGA